AGGCAATATCACTACGGAAGTAGGAGTGCCTGGTGGGTTTGAACCGCCAGCCTCCTGGTAGCAGTCAAGTGCCTTAGCCACTATGCTACCAGAGCTCCTACCAGAGCTTAGAAGTTGTTAAATGTCTTCCAGTCAATTCCGACTCACAGTGATCCTACAGGACACAGAACTGCCCCATAGGATTTCCCAGGTTGTAATCTTTTTTTTTTTTTTTTTAATTGCCATCCAGTGTTTTTTGACTCCTGGCGGCCTTATGTGTGCAGAGTAGAACTGCTCCATAGTTTTCAAGGTTGTGACCATTTTTAAAAAAATACTATTGTGATTTGGGTGAAAGTTTACAGAGCAAATTCACTTTCCATACAACAGCTCACATACACTTTATCTCCTGACATTGACTGCAATTTCCCACAATACAACAGCTCCCCTCCCACTTCCTCCCCATAGTTACCTCCTCTTCCATGTCCTTCCCTCCCACGCACTACTGGCCACCAAGCTGTCTCTGTACATACACAGCACTTCTATTCTCCCATGAATAATCTTTCCAAGGAGTATTATGTACCTAATGTAAATGTTCAGCTCATATGCGTGTCTTTGGTTTGCCTGGAAGCCACAGGAGTGGGTTCAATTCCAGACCTGAAGAGCAGCTAGGGGCTACGGTCTCAGGGGTTTCACCAGGCTATCAGACCAGCAAACCTGGTCGTCCCCCCCACCCCCTGCCTTTTTTTAAGTGATTTTGAGTTTGGTGCCACATTGTTCTCCCATTCCGTCCAGGATCTTCTACATAGATCCCCCTCTGAGAGGCTGACAGTGGTAGCCATCTAGTTTTTCTGGTCTTATAGTCATATAGGCTGAGGATTGCATGGTGTGCCAGTCACTTGGACTAATTGTTCCCATGCATCTTTGGTTTTCTTCATTCTTCTTTGCTCTGGATTAGAGACCCATCATTACATCTAGATGGCTGCTTGCAAGCTTTTAAGATCCCAGTCACTATTCACCAAAGTAGGATGTGGAACATTTTTGTGTAGTATGTTATGCCACTTGAGCTCTATATCCCCTGCAACTATGATCCTGAGCCCATAGTTCCAACTATTCACTCTCTCTGGGGAGCTGGCTATGGCCAAGAAGTGACTACAACCTTGTCCCCTGTCAGCTCTACTATATACCTGGAAATTCTTATATATACAAATACACTTGTAGAAACATTGTCTGCCAACTCTATACATGGTCATGGGCACCCTGCCTCCTGCATAGACAGACCTAATAGTTCAGTTAGGCTGTAACCTTTACAGGAGCAGATCACCATTAAACCAAACCAAAATAGGAGCTCTGGTGGTGTAGTGCCTAAGGCATCTGACTGCTAACCAGAAGGCTGGCGGTTCAAATCCACCAGCCACTCCTTGGAAGGAAAATTGTGCAATCTACTTCTGTACTGGCTTGGAAGCCAAAAAATGTGTCAACTTGGCTAGGCCAAGATCCCCAGGTTCGTGTGGTTGTCCTCCATTTTGTGATGTGCTATAAATCCTAAAACCTCCACGAAGCATGGGGTGTATCTTGAATCCCACCACCTTACTCATGTCACACTCTTATGTAAGTCACACCCTTGCTTGAGTCACATCTTTTTTCTTATAAAGAGATAGAAAAGCAAGCACACTGCAGAGGGATCTGACTATCACCTAGAAGAGCCAGAAGCAGAGTATATCCTTTGGACCTGGGGTCCCTGTGCTGAGAGCCTCCTAGACCCTGGAAAAGACTGACATGAAGACACATGGAGCTCTCCAAAGAACACCCACAGATGGTGAAAGGACACAAGGACCTTCCTCCAGAGCCAACAGAGAAAAGCCTTCTCCTAGAGCCAGCACCCTATTATTTGGACTTCTAGCCTCCTCAGCTGTGAGAGAATAAATGTGTTTGTTAAGCCATCAACTTGTAATAGCAGCACTAGATAACTAGGACAGAAATTGGTACATGAACAGTGGGGTGCTGCTGTAACAGATACTTAAAATGTAGAAGACAGTTTTAGAATTGGGTAATGTGTAGAAGCTGGAAGAGTTTTAAGTCCCCTAATAGTAACCATAGTGGCTAAAGCACTTGACTGCTAACCAGAAGGCTGGCAGTTCAAACCCACCAGCCACTCCTCAGAAGGAAGGTTGGGCAATCCTACTTCCGTAGTGATACTGCCTCAGAAACCCAAGGAGGTCGCTATGAGTCGGGGCCGACTCGACGGCACATAACAACAACAACAATAGTAAAAGCCTAGATTGCCTTGAAGAAACTGCTGGTAAAATTATGAATGCCAAAGGCAATTCTGATGAGGGCTCAGAAATACAGAGCACTATGGAAAAAGTCTCTTTTGTCTTAGGGAATACATATGGTGCCATCAACAGAATGTTGCTAGAAACGTAAACATTCAATGTGCTTTTGGTGAGGGTTTAAAAGAAAATTATGAACATGTTTTTGGACAATGGAGGAAGGCCAACGCTTTTTATGCAGTAGCAAAGAATTTGTCTGAATTATGTTCAAATGTTTGGTGAAATGTAGAACTCGTAAGTGATAAATTTAGATAGCTGGATGTTGACATTTCTATGCAAGATCTTAAAAAGGCAGAATGGTTTCTCCCTGCCACAAGGAGTAAAATGAGAGGAAAAAGATGGACTTAAAAATGAATTGGGATAGAAGGGCAAATATAGTATAGTTTGTTATTGTAAAAAGTCAAGGAAGGTTTATATATGGAAGGAAACTTTCTTTGTTGGTTACCAGGCGTGGAAAGGGAGGGAACACTGAAAAACAAAAAAAATGTATTAATCCATGTCACTTTAGTTTTGTGTATCTCACTGTACATAAATTATATTTCAATGAAATGTATTTTTAAAAAATGAACTGTGGTAAGTGAAAACAAAACTTGAAAGATTTGGAAAATTCTGTTGTACAAACTAAGGACACATCCTAGAATGTTCACCAAGGATGTGGCTACACAGCTTTTGTTAAAGAGATTAAGCATGTAACTGATGAATCTAGCCAACCACCACAGCAGAAAACCCATCAGCTTAGACTAAAGGGGACAGAGAAAGAACCCAAGGCCCGAACAGTCCACTTCCTGCAATTCTACATGCAGGAAACAGGTCAAAGGAGCTGCATCTGCTGTCCTCTAAGAACCATCCCTGGAGCAGCTCAGTATCAGCAGAACTGCTAGAAGGAATATGGGAGGCAGGGCCTTCTCAGTTTCACAGGGGCCATGGTCTCCTAGGTTTCAAAGAGTCAGATCTTCTCCAACTTGGCTCCAGAGCGTGGGGCTGCTGTTTAGCTGTGCCAAGGGGATGAGGCCATCACCCAAAGCTGAGAGGGAGGGGCTGCCATTCCCAAGAGGCAAAAGAATGGGGCCTGCCTGGGCATGGGGGTGGAGAACGGAGCTATCCAAAGCTGAGGAAGCAGAGCTGCCATCCCAAGGGGCCTGGAAGATGGAGCTGAAGCCCAAGGCCAGGGGACCTCAACCCAGAATCCAAATGGCTCAGCCAGAGTCACTGAGGCAGGAAAGGTTAGTTCCCATAGAAGAAACCCTTCCAGGATTGGAACTTAAAGGATGCCAGTGAATTGGCTGGTATTCACCTGAGGTAACCAGTTTTATTTTCTTCATAGTACAAACCTCTTCTCCTTACTCACCATATTAAAATTACAACTAGTCATCAAAGAATTAAAGAAAAAATTCCAATAGAATTCAAAGCACTTGTGATCTTCCTCCACCCCCCACTTCCATACCCTGATCATGCGAAACCATTTCAGGATACCCAGAACACAACCCATTTTCACTCAGTTTATCAAAGGTCAATCACCTTTTCTAAGTCTTTTTCTTAAAATGGCTCCCTTCTTCCTGCAAGCTGGGCATAGATGCTTTCTTCTGTGTGTTCTATCTATGACACCAATCTAATCACACCATTTACTATACTATTAATAGTCAACTTGTCATTTACCACAAGCTTCCAAAAAGGCCTCATTTCTGAATGACACTCACTATCTCTTCAGCCTTGCAAGTGTCTTCAGAATTAATTCTGCTTCTTCCCTCACCCCTTCCTCTAATGTCTGTTATCTTCTATAACAACTCTGCTAAGTGCATGCCCAGCCCCTTGAACATCTTCCATGACAGCAGATCACTTTTTAAATGCCAACACCAACATGTTGGATATTACACACAAATTTCCACTGCAAGAAGCTGACAGTCTGTTCAGTCACACCTTATATGACAAGAGGAAACCCCTGCTGTGGCCAGGGCTGGAGGTTGCTAAATTCCAGATAGACCACAGGACTCAGGAACAACTGGCAGAAAGAACACCGATGAAAAGATTGTTGACAATGAGTCTGGGACAAAGAGCCCTCCACCCAGGCAGAGAAGAGTCAAGCTAAACCAAGTTCAATGCCAGGGGTTAACTGGAACCCAGGGTGTGCAGATTCAACCAAAGAAGAAAAGAAAAGCCTGTTAATATTAAAATCCTAACCCAAGATGTAATTTTATCAATGCTAATTAAAAATACTTAATCCTTGAAAAAAATAGCTCTTTCATAACCATAAAGTTGAAACATTTTCACATAGTTAATATGGCTGAGATTTCCCCCAAAACTTTTTGCCCCAGCTCATCTTCAATTTTTAAGTTTCAGAATCTCCATATTGTCAAAATAAGAAGCCTACTGGTATAATTTTGCCCTAATTTCAGGAGAACGTAAGAGATAGGAGGATATTGAGGGAGATAAGTTATTCCGTGGGAGCTGGTCGTAGACAAAGGGAAAGAACGTATTAGAAGTCAGGTGTGTTGGCAGGGGGAGAGATTACTACACTAAGGCTCCACTCAACAAACACCTAGACCCGTGGCTCCCCCATTTCTTCAAGTACAAAATGGGACCACACTTTCTAGTCTAAGGATCATGAAGACCAAATAAGAGAGGATTCTTTCAACTGTCAAACAACATTTCTTAAGATCTTCTCTTAGGTAAGGTATCCAGCGAAAATATAATTCACTTTTCAGCCTCCTCTGGAGGATTAAGAAGTCTCCTTCGCATCGCATCGCCGTGCTCCCTGCTCTTGGTCCTCTTTTCCGCGTACTAGAAATAAAGGGGGAAAGAAGAGACAGCAGATTATGTCACTATTTATGCACATCAAATATTTAGAAAGATTTGCAAAATAAAAATGATTTTATCAACAAATTTCTTATGTTTGTACTATTTCACTCAGTCTAGACTAGAAAGGGAATCTAGACTAGACTAGGGAATCTATAGTACAATTCCATTCAATAGTCTGGCAGCTATGTCCTAATAGTTGGATAAATATTTGGTGAATTAATTCCTTCCCAAAATATGAATTCAATAAACATGTAGGATTAGTTTTATCCTTGTTCTCCAGGATTCCCAATCTAGCAAGTCATCTAACTTCTGCTTGAACCCTTCTAGTTATGAAGGGCTCATAACCTTGAGAAATAGCCTGTTTTGTTCTATTTACTATAAATTGTGGCCAGACTTCGTCTCACCTACTTCAGTCACGTTGTAAGAAGAGACCATTCCCTGGAGAAGGATATCACGCTTGGTAAAGTAGGTCAATGAAAGAGGGTAAGGCCCTCAACAAAATGGACTGACAAAGTGGCTACAATGATGGGCTCAGGTGTAGCAGGCATCGTGGAGCTGGCACAGGACCGGGCAGTGTTTCGTTCTGCTGTACACAGGGTCGCCAGAAGCCAGACACCACTTCATGGCACCTAACAACAACTATAAACTTCTTCATGTTAAACTAAACACTATCTCTCTGTAAATTTTCCTATTTTCTTCTAGTTCCTCTCGTCTGCTATAGTCTTCCAAACATCTGGTTGAAGTTAATCTGCTTACTATCTTGGCTTACCCTTCTTCACGCTGAACATCCCTGGTTCCACAGACAGGGCATCTACAATCTAATTTGGAAAATTCCTTTACTTCATAAAGCACTTTAGTGTCAATGCCCGTTATAAAGAATACTGCAACCAGAATGAAACACAATGCTCTAGATGTAGTCTGACAGAAGTGGACTAAAGCCCACCTCCCAATTCTGATGACCTAAATGCATTGTATTTTCATAAATATTACCCAAAAGAGTAACTGAATCTTAGCAACCATATTACCTTATGATTCCCATGGGAAGGCATGGTCAAGTAAACTTCCCAAGCTTTTGCTTTATTTCCATCATGAACAGTCATCAAACTTGATTCTACCACAATCTTGTCTCTATAATGAATTGGATTTAAATGCAACACTTGGGGGGTTTTCAGCCTCATAGTCTAATCTAATCATAGGTCACAAATAACAAGAAAAATGGAGCCTGGCTATTAGGTAAGTAATCAGAATTTTTCAAACAGCTAAATTTATGTTGAAAGCAGATACACTTGAATAAAAATATTCTTATATGGATATATTTGTTGTTATGTTGTTGCTATTTGCCATCGAGTCAGCCCCAACTCATAGCGACCCCTCCTTGGGTTTCCGAGGCAGTATCACTACGGAAGTAGAAATGCCCAACCTTCCTTCCGAGGAGTGGCTGGTGGGTTTGAACCGCCAGCCTTCTGGTTAGCAGTCAAGTGCCTTAGGCACTATGCTACCAGAGCTAAATAAATGGATATATTTACATTCTTATAATATATATGCTACCAGAGCAAAATAAATGGATATATTTACATTCTTATAATATATACACCAATATAGACATATTTTAAAGGTGAATGAAAGGTGAACAGTTGAACATCAAAATCTTTTCGGCCTCAGAGATAAAGTAGAAGAGGCTACAGAGATTAAGGATTACTGCAGATGTTCTGGTTACCGAGTGCTGCTCTGACAGGAATATACCACAAATGGGATGGCTTGAACAAACAGGAGTTTATTCTTTTACAGTTTGAAGGCTTTAAGTCCAAGGCAAAGGGCCAGGCTTTAGGGGCTGGGTTAAAGCCCCTCAGCAGTGGCCTTCAGCTCTGCCTCCTGCTCCTGGCCCACTGAAGCTAAAGGCTTTTCTTCACTCAGACAGCTGCTGGCTGCTGAGACTGACAAGCCCATGGTTAACAAGTAAAACGCCACAGTCCTGATGTTACCAAACCACACGGCAGGCCATTAATTGAAGTCCACTGAAAATCCCAAGGTCAGCACAGCTACATGTAAGGTTCAAGCAAGCCATAAGCTAGAAACAAACCATTCCCCAAGACTTCTCCTTATACACAGGAAACAGACCACATCCCTAAAGCAGCTACTCAGCTGCCCACAGTAGATTCCACCATGGAGTTGATTACCAGTCACATCATGGGGAATATTACATCCAGCTGCCCAGCCAACCAACCAGGCCCAGCCAAGTTGACACACAAATGTAACTACCACAAGAGGTAATCAGGGGCTTGACCAAATTCCCCACCTTCTTGCCCCAAGACAGAATCGTTGTGGAGTCAGAAGTGAGTTATTCCACTCTACTGGGCTAGGAGCCTCATAAATAAGGAGTTGGGCTAGACATTCTTTAAGAAGTTTTCTAGGTCTAAAGTTGTCAATCTAGAATTCTGATATAATACTTTGTTATTTCGGTCAGGTCAATAAAATAAGCTATTGAGCGAAGTGAAATACAAGCTATATCAAAACATATCTTAAGATAGCTTCAGAGGGGATCTGAGATGTCCCTGAATTGAGGAAGGGAGAGCTGAATAAGAGGTTATGCAAAAAGAAGTTCCACCAACACTGATATATATAATAGAGTAGGAAGTTAGTTTACTAAAATAAACACATAAATCAAAGGAAAAAAAGAGGCTGCTGCAAAGTTAGTGATTATTTCAATAAAAAGAACAAAAGCAATGACACAGCAGCATAGAGGGGCTTAGAAAGAACTGGTCAGATCTTTTCCTATTGAAAGTTTCCAGGAATGACATACTCAAATGACACAGAAGGAAATAGGAGGAGGAGAACATGAGAAGCAATAAATGGACACTAGAAAACATTAAAAGCATAAAGGAGAAAATCTGTAATTTATACAAAAACAAACTTGGACAAAATAAGAAAAGTATCTATAATATTCTAGCAAGTAGCCACTCACAGACATCAGAACCACCTGGGAAGAAAATATCATATGAAGATCTAATCAACAGACCAATGGCAAAATTACTGAACTATAAGGGAAGAAAACAGATCTAAGGGAAAGCATGTAAAAAATAAGCAGCTATAACAAATAAAATAGCACGGACTTTATTTTTACGTAAGTTTATTAAAACAGCCACAACTCATCTGTCAGTTTGTTGTACTCTGGTGGCTTACGTGTTGCTGTGAGGCTGGAGGCTATGCCATTGGTATTTCAAATAAAAAGCAGAGTCACCCATGGTGGACAGGTTTCAGCGGACCTTCCAGACAAAAGACAGATTCGGAAGAAGGAAGGGGCCATTTACTTCTCAAAGAATGGGCCAGTGGAAACGTTATGAATAGCAGTGAAATATTGGTATATTACTGGAAAACTTTATGAACAGCTCTGAAACTTGGTGTGCTATAATACTGGAAGATGAGCCCTTCAAGTAGGAAGGCACTCAAAATAATACTGGGGAAGAGCTGCCTCGTCAGAATAGAGTCAACCTTAATGACATGGACAGAGTAAAGCTTTTGGGACCTCCATTTGCTGATGTGGCATGACTCAAAATGGGAAGAAACAGCTGCAAACATCCATCAATAACTGGAATATGGGATGTACAAAGCATGAACCTAGAAAAACTGAAGTTGTCAAAAATGAAATGGGACACATAAAATCGATATTCTAGGAACTAGTGAGCTGAAATGGACTGGTTCTGGCCAGTCTGAGTAAGACAATCAATGAGCTACTACGCCGGGAATGCCAATTTGAAGGAATGGTGTGGCATTTATCATCAGAATGTTTCAAGATCTATCCTGAAGTACAATGCTGTCAGTGACAGGATGATATCCCAACGCCTACAAGAAGACCAATTAATTATTCAAATTTTTACTATTCATATTTACACACCAACCACCAAAGCCAAAAATGAGGAAACTGAAGATTTTTACCAACTTCTGCAGCTGAAATTCACCAAGCAAGCATGAAAATAAGATATGTTGATTATTACTGGTGATTGGAATGCAAAAGTTGGAAACAAAGAAGAATCACCAGTAGTTGGAAAATATGGTCCTGGTGATACATGACACTGGAGATCACAGGACAGAATTTTGCAAAACCAACCACTTATTAATTCCAAGTAGCTTTTTCCAACATCATAAATAGTAGCTATACAAGTGGACTTCACCAGATGGAATACACAGAAATCAGAGTAACTACATCTGTGGTAAGAGGCAATGGATAAGCTCAGTATCTTCAACCAAAACAAGGCCAGGAGCTGATTGTGCAACAGACCGTCAACGGCTCATATGCAAGTTCAGGATGAAGCTGAAAACAATTAAAACAAGTACATCAGAGCTAAAATATGCTTGATTATATCCCTACTGAATTTAGAGAATATCTAAAGAATAGATTTGTAGCATTAAACAACAATGACCATAAACTAGATGAACTGTGGGATGACATCAAGAACATGATCCATGAAGAAAGCAAAAGGTCATTAAAAAGAAAGGAAAGGAAGAAAAAACTAAAATGGATGTCAGAAGAAACTCTGGAACTTGCCCTTGAACAGAGAATGGAAGAAATGACAAGATAAAAACAGAAGATTTCAAAGAGCAGCTTGAGAAGACAAAGTCAATTATTATAATGAAATGTGCAAAGACCTGGGGTTGGAAAACCAAGGGAAGAACACACTCGGCATTTCTCAAGTCAAAAGAACTGAGGAAATAATTCAAGTCTTGAGTCACAATATTGAAAGATTCTATGGGCAAAATATTGAATGATGCAGGAAACATCAAAACAAGATGGAAGGAATACACAGGTAGGTTGGGCAATCTACTACCATAGTGGTACCGCCTCAGAAACCCAAGGAGGGGTCACTATGAGTCGGATACGACTCGATGGCAGTGGGTCTGGTTTTGTTTGGTTTGGTACAAAA